GCCATAATTTTGAAAAAAATAATACCTACAGTCGGACCTAATTATAGTGTACTCCTTAAAAATGGTATCCAGGAGCTGAAGGAATTTCAAGAAGTACAATATTTCGGGAAGTACAATAGCCCCCTCTAATAAAACGACCCCTAGAGGAAGGTTAAAAATAAACCGACCCCCTAGAGGAGTCATCTTCAAAGAATTTGACATTTTCGGATCAGGATATTTGGTCTGCTACCTCTATTCAGGCATGATTTTCTGCCAGAAGAAGGTGCACTATAGTGTAGGGTTGTCGGGTCCAGATATCCGGATTTGAAAAAGGCCGGATAGTCGAAAATTTTAAGTCGGATATCAGATTCGGATCTTAATATCAGAAGATATCTTCACTATCCTACATCTTTTATAGTGAGGTCCGGCTGTAGTTTTTCATAATTATTAATGATAGTAGCGGCGCAAAAGTCGTCCGGCGCAAAAGTCGCGGCGCAAAAGTCCCCCGGCGCAAAAGTCGCGGCGCAAAAGTCCTCCGGCGCAAAAGTCGCTCGGCGCAAAAGTCGCGGCGCAAAATTCGCAGCGCAAAAGTCACGGAACCACAAAAATAGAGTGGAATTCGAATCGGATATAATATATATATAAAGATATAAATTTTCATATAAAAATTCTGTGATATAACAGAATTTTCCCTATAAATAATTAATAAGTGATCTGATACATATTTCAGCATTTTTTTATAAACCAAAAAGAAATGTGTATATTTGACCATGGAAGTGAGTATTTATTCCTTCAAATATACAAAAGTTGCACTGAGAAAATTGTAAAACAAATAAAAAGACTTTCCAAAAAATCGGAACGAAGTAGAAGAAATAGAGGAAATCAACCTCTCCTTGATACTGTAGAAAAAGTAAATGATTATTGGGATGAATGTTTGATTAAGGGTTTTGAAAATAAAGACGTAATAAAAAATAATGAAAATGAGAGAGAATTAATCCATATAGATAAACTTAATGAATTGTTAAATAATGAAGAATTCAAACAATTTTTGCAATGTGAAGCATCCGGTAATTAGGGACAGCCAAAACATGAATATGCATATTTTGTATGCCTTAAAGTGGGAAACACCCCTGCTCGCCGAACTGGATAGGCCGAACTGAAAATTTTAAGAATTTCCTATTTTAGGGGCGGGAGTAGAGGGGCGGGAGAGAGAGAATATTTACAAAGTTCGGATCCCAAATCATAGCTTTTTCGCCATATGCGGAATTCTGAACCAAATAAATTATTTGTCTACCGACCCCCCCCCCCCCCTTATCTTAGTCTTCGTGCTCCCCTGCCTAGTGAAATCTGCCGTCTAGTCGTTTCAAACCGAACCGAAAGGCCGAGATTTTCGGTGCTCTAAAATAGGAAATTCTTAAAATTTCAATCATTGCACCAAATTATCTCTGTTTGGTCCAATTTCTTTAATTTTCTAGATGTTCCTCATTTTCGACATTTCGATAAATTTCATGACATTTGGCAAAATTTTTTGCCCATTTTTGTGAAATACTAGACAATTTTATGAAATCATCTGTTAAAACAATTTTAAAAATATATTAATTTTAGCATTGATGGTTAAAGAATTATGTGGTATAAATATAAATAAATTAATTAAAAAATTTGAAAAAGAAAAAAAGAAAGAAAACGTAAATGAAGATGTGCAATATAAGTCAGCGATACAAGAAACATCATCATCAAGCAAAGGAAGATCAACAAAAGGAAAGGAGAAAGCTTATGAAATAGTACAAAATTTTCCACCAAGAAACCCAACTAAAGGTTTCTGAAATTAATTTATTTTGTTTCAAATTATAATTTAAAGGACCAAAAAAGGGATATATTCCTTCTGTTGTTAGAAAGGCTTTAATTATAGAAGAGGAGTTAAAAAAGAAAAAAGTGATACATGAAGAAAATGAGGCCGCTGCCGATTATTATGTATATTTTTAATTATCTACATATACAGTCGGATCTCACTATAAGATACACCCAGTAAAAAAAAAAAAAAACTATTAAACCTCTATTTAAGATACTCTTCTTAAATGTGGTGGCGGAGTTTTTTCCCTTTGATGGTGGAGATACCTCCCAGTTAAGGCGCTCCTCATTATAATTTTTAGAGGTTGTATGTATCTATAAGTAAGGTCTGCCTATTTCTACATATATTTTTGCATTCAAAGTTAAAATAAATTTAAGTTGAATGGATTAATAGAAAATGAATATTATATTAATGAATACATAATTACTAATAGAAATGGTGTTATAGACAATTTAAGACAAGTAATTCAAGAATGGATCGAAACTGTGAAAGAAAATAAAGGAATAAATAATGATATTGAAGAAGGTATACTGTAGTAACTAAATATAAGATACACCCTCGTATTTCGAACTTGATAATGTCTAGCTCAAGTTTATAAAACGTTATTAAATAAGGTTATCTTATATGTAGCAAAGTTCTGTGTCAGGGAATGTCTAAACAAGTTCCAAATTTTCTATTTCAAGATTTCCGAGATTTTCAATTACTGGAGGGTGGTTCTAAAATATTAGGAACAACTGCTTATTGGTCGGATATGGATATTTTGTGTATTTTGCCAAAATATATAAATATTTATGATTTTATTGCTGAAGATGAATGTGGGTTATATGGAAGTTTAATGGCTGTTATAGGCTCGGATAATATAAATATTGTAAAAACAAGCAGAATTTTGATGCTCGAATTAAAAATGAATGGAATTGATGTTGATTTAATTTATGCACAAATTCCATTTGAAAAAATTGAAACAAATTTTGATATAATGGATAATGAAATTATTGAAGAAAATAAAAATAAGAGAAGCATTTTAGCTTTAGCAGGTTAAATAAAATACTGTCTGAATTTACTATAGAGATATTTACAATTTATTTACTATAAGATAACTCAATTCAAGTTATGTTGACTAAAAATAGCTGGCCATATCGGGATTTTGACATAAAATCGGGATCAGGATTTTGAATAATGCCCCCAATCCCGACTTGGGATTGAAAAGTCAGTATAGGCATTTACTAAAAATGTTTAATAAATATGAGGAGAAATACATATCCTCTCCAAACAACTGCAAATCCACGGGGAGAATATCAAAAGATTTTTGGGGGTTTCTGAGGAATTGATTCTGAGAGGGGGCTCCGGTTATAAAAATTCATTAAATATTTTCTTAAAAAGGTGTTCGTTGTTTGAAGAATATACGGCAAGAATATATCTGTCAAAACCAACAATTACTGGTTTTATTAATGCGATATGTGAAGATTTGGGCAAAAAGTAAGTAAATTATTTCTACGAAGGATAGATGAAATTGCGGCCGCGAATTTGACATTTACAGTTTATGGGCTAAAGCTACATAGTAATCTCAGCTAGTGCAGTAGTTATTCGGTGATAGGAAGCAGGGATGATTGGGAGCAAACCAGCAGGGTTGGGGTAGTTTTGGCCTGACTGTAAGGGACTGATGTGTTGTCCATTACGCATAGTTCTAGGAATTAAATGGCTATATGCCTTTCAATATCCAAGGGTTTATTTATAAATGAGTTTGAAATTTATTTTCCCCTTTAATTCTAGATCGCCTCATCTATTCAAACATTGCTGGATATTTGAGTGGTCATTCGTTGTCTATTATGTCAGCAAAAATCTGTATAGAATATCCGGAAGCTACTAGCTTATCTTTTGTTATTAAGCAATTTTTTAACGTTTATAATTCATGGTTATTTGATAATCCTAGGAAAGATATTTTTTTGTTTTTAGGAAATGGGGAGAAAAACCATTATTATTAGTTGATTTAATTGATACAGATGATGAATTCGGAAATGCTTCAAAAATTGTTGAGCCTTGGAGAGTTAAAAATGAAGATTTTGATTCTTCTATTAGGTGCGGACATAATTAGTGGCCGTTTTTTTAGATTGAATTTTTAGGGGTGTTATTTTACAAATATTCTTTTTTCTTATTAACCAACATAAAGATCTGAATCTACTCTTCATTTTAATACCAGGTTTATGTATATATCGGTGATATTCATAAAGTTATGATTTTTTGAACTTCACTACCTCGTAGTGAAATTTTCAAGCATTTACACCAAAAATTTTAATTTACCAAAAATGCAACAAAAGAATCAAATAATCTCAATGATCTAGTCAATGGGGTCGTTGTCTATGCTAGACAGCAAAAAATAGGGTTCTGGCTTTATGAATAAGGCCGTATAACTCTCAGAAGCAAACATGGTCGAGGGAGACGGCTGTCATTAAGAATAACGGTCTTGCTCGGCCGGCTTAGATGGAATCCGCTTATTTCTACTGCTGAATTATAGAGGGATATCTGCTCTATAAGTATGTCGACGCGTGACTCAAAAAATGCGGGCTGCGCTTAAGGAAGGCAAATCAAATGCCGCGCGTACTCTCTTTTGCACAGATGGGAAAACGACACGACACTCCCCCAAAAAGTTGTTTCTTATAACTCAGCGTAAAATCATCCGATCAGGATGATCTAAACGGTTTTTTATATAACTTTTAGGGCTTATTCTAAATCCGAAGTATAAAGTCTGTAAATTGTGTCGAACCCGGAATTCGAATTTCGACCTTTTTGAAAAATTTAGACTTTTGGGATTAAAAATTCGAATTTGTGCCCTCCTGATAGAGCTTTTGAAGAGCTTTCGAATGACATATTACACTTAATATTATCATCACAGATACTCGAGAAAATTTGATTTTCGATGGTTTCGAAAATTTTGACTTTTTCGATCAAAACTCCATGAATACCTAACCAAAAATTCTGAAATGCCGGGATCCTTTAGAAAATAAACTAACAAATGATTTGTAATAAAAATAAAAAATATTTTCTATAAACTTAATACTAAAAATCCAATTTAAAAAACGGCCACTAATTATGTCCGCACCTAATAGGTTTGGAGATTACAAAGAAAATATTTATAAAAATAGTATATAAAGTGGTTACATGCCGGGGGATCCCCTCAGTATTGTACCATACAATGGCCTATTTGTTGTTTTAGATCAGGCTTGACTGTATAAGTAATAAAAATAATAACAAATTTAATAAAATTAAGCGAAACTGGATCAAGTGAAAAAAGAGGCGCAAAAAATGAAGGAAATGATGGAACACAAATGTCCATAATTACACCTGGATTTCCCGAACAGAATACAACATTTAATGTAAATAAGTTTACATTAAAAAGAATTGTTATGGAATTTAAAAGAGGTAAATGGTTCTACATTAGATAGATATCCGGCCTCATTTGAAGATAAAACCCTTCTTAAATTGACTGTATCTGTTAAAATGGTAGAGAGACATATCGAGGTTGCTCTGAAAAAATTATCTAACATTGATTCTAAAACATAAGAACAATTTTTCTTCAATAAATGAGCAATGTACTGTCAAAGATCCATTGGCCTAGATACTGAAATCGTACATTGAACTATTCAGTGTGTCCACAGATCGTTAGAATTTAAGTAATTAATTAAAAAATCCAAAAAAAAAAGTTTTTTTGGACCAAACTCCCCAAGCTTGTACTCCAAAAAATCAAATCTTTCGAAAAATATAAGACCATTTCCTAAATAATAGCAATTCCGACAACCTATCTAATTATAAGCAATAATAAATAACCTCAATTTATGATGCGTTTCTTAAAATTTGGTCCGCGACTGGCTGGTGAAACTGCCGAAGCTATACCTCCTGTTTAAAATACAACCCAATATAAGATATGATATTTAACCCCCAAGTTTGAGGTTGAATATACATATAAATAATATTTTAAAGCTTTTAACCTTATAAAACTACATTCTGAGCAACAACCAACAGATTTAAATATTTGGAATAAATTAATTACAGAATTAAATTGGAAAAAACGTTATAATTATTTTATTTTAATTTTATGTAGAGCTGGTGAATTTGAGGAATTTGAGGTAAAAAATAACTAAAAATAGTTAAATTAATCTATATACTGTATTTTTTCTAAAATAATTCTGCTCGGGCACAAATTTTAAAATGCGAAACATTACAGGAGAAAGTCCAAAAAAGGCGAAATTTTAGCGAAAGGTGAAAGAGCACAACAATGGTAGTGCGAACGGGTACAGCCTAGTGATGCTCGGGGATCTCGATTTCGACTCAGGAAAATTTTCCGAGTTTAATGTAGATTCTCGACTCTCGATCCCGTGGTCATTTTCTGACCCGATTCCCGAGTTTTTTTCTCACAAGCATCACTAGTACAGCCCAAAACGGCGCGCGGTCACAACGGCTCAAATAACTTGCCGGAAAATGTCTGGCCCTTGTCAATTTAGGTCTACTAAATCTGATAGGATTAAGAAAGCTTGAAGCAAGCTATGGCTTTGCGCCGTCCCCCAATCATAAAAGGATATGTTCTCTACTAGTGATGTTCGAGAGTCAAAAAATCCCGAGAGTCGAGAGTCGAGACCGAGACCGAGAATCAACCCCGAGACCGAGACCAAAACGAGAGTCGAGAGTCGAGACCGAGAGTCGAGACCGAGAGATTAAGAGGGATATCACTTGATGTCCCTCCTAATCCCCAAAAATCCCTTGATATACCTCAAAATCCCCATACTCGCTTGAATCCACTTGTCCACAATATATATTCAATGATATTCACATTAATCTCTTAAAATCCCCTCATATCCTTCCATATCCCTACAAATCCAACAATATCTTTTTGATCCATCGATGCACCCATCCCTTGATATTAAATTTTATCCTTCAGAATCCACAGTATCTAATATACCACAAACCACAAAATCTAATCCTTTAATCTTATTAAATTCAAATTTTTGCTGCATTTTTGGCGCCGCAGGCGAAAATTTTTTGAATTTTGGAGCTCAAGAAGCCAAATTTCCTCCATTTTCAGCGCCGCAGGCGAAAATTTTGAGAATTTTGGAGCTCAAGAAGCCAGATTTCTTCCATTTTTCAGCGCCGCAGGCAAAATTTTGGGAATTTTGGAGACTTTTCCTTAAAAATTTTAATATCAAAGTACGCAAGGTCCGAGTAAAGTTCAAAAAATTTCCGTCATTAGGGGTGTAAATTTAGTCTCGTTTTCCGAGACCAAAACACCGAGACCGAGACCGAGACCGAGAGCTCAAAAAACCCGAGAAATTTCTCGACTCGAGAGTCGAGACCGAGAGTCTCGAACATCACTATTCTCTACACCTTACTTTAATGAGGGCGCTTTATTTTCTCTAGAGGAGTGCTTATGAGGAGGGAGTATTATTTTTCTGCAAATGCGAGATATTATTTTTCCAACTCTTTTATATCGGCTATTGTTTTAGATAGAATACGGTATTTAAATTTTTTAGAAAGGTTACTGTAATAAACAAAAAGTCTTATTACGTACGTATTTATACAAATGGGAAGAAGAAAATGAGCAGCAATATACTAATTTAATTAGAGCAAGCCATTTAATACCAAATTATGATAAAAATGTTAATTGTCTCAATACTACAAGGTTTCAAAAAGATTTATTTTTTAAATTTTTTCAAGGATTGAACCTGCGACCTCTTTACAGTTATTGCTAGGCGCTTTCACTCACCATATACAGGAGCTCTACCACTGAGCTACCGGGGCATCGACTAATGCTTTCTTTTTTATCCTTTTAGATCGTTTAACTCTCGCCTAGGCGTTCTAAATGCTCTAGGTGAATCATCCTTACAAAGATAAGGGAAAGAAAAAAATAGAGATGAGGGGGTACGAGAGAAAGAGGGGGTACGAGGGGCTACGAACAAAGCGGGTACGAATGTAACTATAAATATTTAATTATACATTTAAAAATATTTTTAAAGCGATGGATTAATTTCCTGTAAGTTATGGATTGTTGGCGTTTATTTAAATAGTGATATATATGTTGAACAAGTTGGACAACTTTTGACGCTTGATGACAAATTTAAAAATTCTTCAACAAAGCCTGCTTCTTTATATTCAGTATATGCAGATAGAGACAATTTGGAAAACATGTAATAGTCAAAACTCGTTTTTAGATATACCCAATCCTAAATACTAATGGGCGGTAAATCATTCTTCCGAACTCGGAAACGACTTGGGGAGACAATTTTTGATAATCTCTGAATGTTTCTGGACAACAAGGATGGGGATAATCCAAAATTGTAGTAGTTCAAAGTAGAGTTGCACGAGATCGATATCTCGACCGAGACCGAGACGAGAATCTCGGCCATTTTCCAATCTCGGTCTCGGTTTTGACGAGACGAGACCACCTAACCGAGACGAGATTCTCGGCACTTAATCTCGCCGAGATCCGAGATCAGTATACACCCCTAAAGATTGACCTTATTTTGATTTATTTTTATTTTGACAAAATATTTAAAATTTCGCTATTGGTATATTGTTGTGCTCACTTTAATTTAGTTGTCTCGTGAATGGGGCAGGACAAATAGGCGCGGCCGAATACACATCAACCTTCACGGATCGCTGCGGTCGCCGCGATCGAAGCGAGCACGACCGCAGCGAAGCACAGCCATCATGTAGCGAAGACTTGCGGAACTCAACCCCAATCTTGAACACAAAGAAAAATCCAAAATTTGGGGCTTCAGTCCCCTATTGGCCGGCCAAATTCAATTTGGACCTGAATGTAATTTGGACGGTGACATATATACACCGTATTTCTTCTAATAGTGCGACTGTCTCTAATAGACCGACCCCTTCTAATAAACCGACTCCGTAGAGGAAGGTTGAAAAATAAACCGACTGCCTCTATCAGACCGACCCCTTCTAATAAACAAGTGTCCGTACATAAGTGTCCCCTACCCTTTATACTTAAGTCTTTCTGGAGAAATGGTGGAAAAAATTCTAGTTGTAAAGGCAAATATGGATAAACTGTTGCTTGGTCCACCAACTGAAATTGATTCTGATGAAACATATGATTTTGATGATAGATATTTAATTAATAGATGATATTTAATTAATTTAAATGGGTTTTGGTGGATAAAAAATGTTTTGAAAAATCTCGGTTTATCTCGGATCTCGATATCGGTCTCGGGTCAAATTTTGCATCTCGGTCTCGGTCTCGGTCATGCGAGTCTCGGTCAATCTCGGTCTCGGATTTATTCTAAAATCTCGATCTCGTGCAACTCTAGTTCAAAGCTCAGTACAAATTTATAAGAGTGGGATCCGGACTAAAAAATGTCACATAAGTCACAAAAAAATACAAAGAAAATGTGACTTCTTTCGGATTTTTAAAATTTTTTGGACCTAAATAGATCCTATCTCACGCTTTTTTGGACCTTAAAACGCGATAATTATGGGATACAATTTCCTAGTCGCACTACAAACTAAAGGCTCAAATATATTTATTTAATTTTTAAAATTTAAAAATTTACAAATTCTAGTCTTGGAACATTTGACATTTATGAGTGAACAATTGGATTTTAATGCGGTTTAAAATTTTGCTGAAAAAATTAATTTCCATATTTTATGATTATTTTTAGTTAGTAGATCTTTTTTGAAGTGTTATCTAAATAAAATTCCTAAAATGTAATTTTCATCATTTCTATTATTGTGACTAGAGTTTGAACCTGTGTATAGCCCGGATATTGTGGTAAAATCCGGGTTTTATTGGGTTTCCGTGGTTTTTGGAGTTTTGACCAGGAAAAACTGGAAGTTTGATTTAGATGGAAAAAAACGGGGTCCTTGGTTTTTTCTCAAGTTCAAACTCTAACTAAGGCAGAATATTTTTTGTCGAAAGGTGAAAGACGAAAGGCCAAGAAAGGCGAAAATCGGCAAAAGACGAAAGGCGAAACTCGCACACCCCTGTCAAGTATGTAGAATTAAATTTACTAAAAATTATGTTAAACATGTTCACCATTTTTTCTTCTTTTCCAATTTTGATTAAATAAATATTTTCAAAAAAATATCTGTTACTTCTCTAAAACCGCATAAAACATTTTGTTGAGATAAAATTTATTAAAAAAATTTTATTTTATAAATTAAATTAAAATTGTGTAAAGTTTCCTCACATTCAAAATAATTTTTCGATTTGAAATTTTTTTGTAAACCACAAGAAACTATCCTGCTACATTTCCAACAGTTCTTGGTGCTCCTTACACGGCTTAAACCCTCGATATCAGGCCCAAATCAATTTATATTGGGCCCCTTGAAATTTCCCGATATCACTCAATGTCCAACTTAATCCATCCAAAACTTAGATATATTAAATCTTATCT